ACACACACACACACACACACGCATTTGGTTAAAAACCTAATAAGTGCACAGTGCTGGGTAGGAAAATAGAGAATAAATGTAAAGGGAAGATCTGAGCATGTGAACAGACACTTAAATCAACAGACCCTACAGTAGCCAAACAGAGGAGAGCAAAGTTGCTTTTTCAGAACAAAAGACAGACTCTCCACCCACTTTGGGGGAAGAAAACCTCCTGCCCCTGGAGCCTGGATTAACAGACCCCATTTCTGCCTCACTTGGCCCACCCACTTTGCTGACCTCTGATTGGCTAGTTCAAGTTCACAGCCTGACTGTTCTGATTGGTTGATTGTCTTTGGGCGGTTGAATCACCACACTTCGTCTCTGTGTGAAGCGCCCCTTCACCGTCGCTTCGTCTCTGAGGTAGGTTCTCTGTGAGGGGCATCTCGGACAAGTTAAAAGTGGACAGATAGAAAAGCTGGGAACCTCTGTAAGTCACGCAAGTATTTGTGCCTTTGCTGTGCCTTCCAAGATCGTCAAGATAAGTTAAGACTGAGAATTGACTAAAACCTTTCAGGGCAATCCCCGTCGAACAATGATAAAACTAAAACTATGTCATTCTATGAGATTCCTTAATTACTATTCATGAGGGAAGCAAAACTAAAGTAAGCCTAAGAAACCCCCAAATCAGCCAGATGCCCCTAGATTGTCTCAGAGATAATGACAAATATTATCTCTGCCTTAGGGACTACTTTATTATCTTTTCTGGGAGCGAGTGGGAGTCATCTTGACCCCAAAGACCTCTAAATGTCCAATCCTTAAAATATCTCTAATGCTTTCTGTTTGTGGGGTCCCAGACTGATGCATTTTTTTTAAAGTTTTTTTCCTTTTTGGGGAGGGGGGGGCGGGGGCGTACTGGGGATGGAAACCCCAGGGGCACTTTATAACTGAGCTACAGCCGCAGTCCTTTTTACTTTTGATTTTGAGTGAGGGTTTTATGAAGTTTCTCAGGCTGAACTTAAACTTTTTGTCTTTTTAATTTTGAGAGTCTCTCGCTAAATTGCCTTAGGCGAAGAAGCAATCGTCCTGCCCCAACCTCCCAAATCACTAGGATTACAGGTGTGCCACCTCAAAAGACCAGATTGGTGCATCTTGAAACACCCCACACTCCCTTGGTTTGAGTGGTGGCTAGTCCTATCATCTCAGAGATTCTAACTCCCTTCATTCGAATATTTTCCAGATTAACGCAGTACTAGCTCCTAAATTCACTCAAATTAGCGACCCCTGTTTTTCTTAAAGAGCAGAATCACAGCTGGGCGCAGTGGCACACACGCCTGTAATCCCAGCAGCTCGGGAAGCTGAGGCAGGAAGATCTCTCGTTCAAAGCCAGCCTCAGCAAAAGCGATGTGCTTAAGCAACTCAGTGAGATCCTGTCTCTAACAAAATATGAAAAAAGGCTGGAGGGCTGGGGATGTGGCTCAGTAGCTAAGTGCCGCTGAGTTCAACCCCAGTACCCACCAAAAAATAAAATAAAATAAAAAGAGCCAAACCACACATCCTTTCCCTGACATCCCAACCCCATCAATCAGAGAGATCAAATGACCTGTGAGACTCCCCTCCTCTGCTTTACCTAACAATACACCATATATTAAAAATACAAACTCATGGCCTGGGGTTGTAGCTCAGTGGTAGAGTGCTTCCCTAGCCCGTGAGAGGCCCTGGGTTCTATCCTCAGTACCACATGAAAATAAGTAAATAAAATAAAGGTATTGTGTCCAACTACAACTAAAAAATGCATATTTTTTAAAAATTACACTCACTATGCATATGCAAATTACTCAGATCTGATAAGCACACATTGTATCTGAGTTGAAATATCACACTACCTCACAAACAGAATTTTTGTCAATTGAAATTTTAAAAATTTTGAATAAAATAAAAGGCTAAAAAACTATAAAAGGAAAATAGTTCAACTTTTGTTTTGTCTTACAAAAACTTAGTCTAATTTTTTTGTGTGTGAGAAAGGCTATAGAGAAATTTTAACCTCAAAAAAAAAAAAACCCAACTGTAAACAAAAGTCACTGCTTCCTCGAGGATTTTTTTCTTTTTTTAATTTTTAATTGGCATATGATAATTATATATGTTTATGGGATACAGTATGAAAATTCAATACCTCTATATAAAGTGTACTGATCAAATCAGGCTAATTAACATTTGCCTTTCATTAAACATTGAGAACCTTCAGACTCCTATCTTCTGGGTGTTTTGTTTGTTTAATAATTTTTTTGTAGTTGGACACAATACCTTTATTTACTTATTTTTTTTGAGAGAGAGACAAAGAGAATTTTTTAATATTTTTTAGTTTTCGGTGAACACAACATCTTTATTTTATTTTTATGTGGTGCTGAGGATTGAACCCAGTGCCCCGCGCATGCCAGGCAAGCGCACTACTGCTTGAGCCACATCCCCAGCCCTATTTACTTATTTTTATGTGGTATTGAACCCAGGGCCTTGCACGTGCTAGGTGAGCCATCCACCACTGAGCCACAACTCCCAGCCCAGTTTTGTTCGTTTTTTTGATACCTGATTGAACCCAGGGTTGCTTAGCCACTGAGCCACATCCTCAACCCTGTTTTTTATTTTGAGTCAGGGTCTGGGTAAGTTGCTGAGGCTGAACTTCAATTTGCAATCTTCCTGAGTTGCTGGGATTAAAGGTGTGTGCCACTACCCTTGGCTCTTCTAATTCTTTATAAAATATATGATCAACTGTTGTAAGTTATAGTCTCCATCAAAACCGAATTTATTCCTCTTTTTTTTAACTGTATTTGGTACCTATTCTGACCTCCCTCTACCCGTCTCCTCCCCTTTCTGGTTGCTAGTGGTACTATTCTGCTCTTCTATAAAATCAACTTTTTTTGGCTTCCCCAAGAGTTGAGAATGTGCATCGTTTGTCTTTCTGTGCCTGACTTCTCCAACATCTTTCTATTTTGCCTTCAGTTTAAGAAAGCTCCAGGGGAACTACTATCAACAGCAGCCAACCTGCTCTCAGAGACACAAGGCTGCTTTGCTCATGCCCACAGAAACCTGTCATTCCTAAACCACTACTTCTCCCACTCCCTTGTTCTCACCCAAATTTCCCCCAATGTCCTTACTCAGGGACAGTTAAGACCAGTATGGAGAAAAGTAGAACCTAATCCCAGGTGACTGGCTGAGTGTGGCCGTCCCTCCATACTTTCTCCCTCCACAGGACCTTTGGTCTTGTGGCTGGAGAGAATCAGGCTGTCCCTTCAAGATCAGACTGTTCCCAGTGCCATGAACAAAGACAGCTCCTTTTCAAAGAGCCTCAGGGAAGATACTCAGAAATCAGAGAAGAAATACAAGGTGAGGTAATCTGGAGGGGGCAGATGAGTAGCCCAGGGGACAAGATTTCTTCCCCAGGGTGACTAGATTTTTCAGGAGATGGCACTGGGGACAAGGAGCAAGGACTCAGGAAGTGATCTAGAGCCTTGGGAGATTCCCACCCACATTATGTCTTCCCCCAGCTTCCCTGGACAAGCCTGTGACTCTCAGCCCATTCTGAAAGGTGGGAGGAGAGTTAGTCATCAGTATTCAGCACCTACTGCATGCCAGGGGAGAAGCTAGGCAGTATTGCCCCTGTTCTCTCAATCAATACAACACCCAAGAGGGATTATCTCCAGTTCCCAGATCCACTGCAGAGACCCTGCAGCCGAGGAAACAGCCCTGAGTGGCTTCCAGAATTTACTTTTCCTTCTTTTCTAGGCCTTCAGGGATATTTCCAAATACTTCTCTAAGAAAGAGTGGGCAAAGCTGAGCCATTCGGAGAAAATTACCTATGTGTATTTGAAAAGAAACTACACCACCATGACTAGTCTAGGTAACAGGACAAAGCTGAGTGCAGACAAGCCTGGGAATACGTGAGCATCCCTTGGTCCCATTCCATGTTATGGCTTCTTAGGCTGTAGTGAGTGCTCCCCATTTTCGTTTTGTTCAGGGAGAAATGTCAAGGCAGTATTTGAGTGTCCTGTTCTATTATATCCTGTGCATGTCTGAGGGCAGGGGCTGACCACCTTGGAACTCAAACCTGAATCCTGTACATTTCTCTCCTGCCGGCCTTTGGCATCCCAGCAATCCACTCCCCCTTCATTCCTTCTCTCAGATTGTCTCTTAAGGAACAAACAATTTGCTTCTTTCTAGGTCTCAGAGCCACCCTTCCTGCTTTCATGAGTTCTAACAGACAGATCATAGAATCCCAGAGCGATGATTCTGATGAATGTCGCAACCGTGGGAGTCAGGGTAAGTGGACAGGAAGGGGATGCAAAGAGACTCTACCCAATTGCTTTTCAGTCCAGTTTCCTGGAAAAGCTTCACAGGTACTTTCTTGCCCCCTTACACAGGTCAAAGCTGAGTGAAAAGGGTTGCTGCAGAAAGTTAAGCATAGGAAGCCATTCATACAAAATTCTAAAACATGCAAAATGAGAACAAAAAGAAAGGGCTGGGGCTGTAGTTCAGTGGCAGAGCACTTACCTAGCAGGTGTGAGGCACTGGGTTCCATCCTTAGCACCACATAAAAATGAAACAAATAAAAAAGGCATGCTGTCCATCTACAACTACAAGAAAAAAATTTTAAAAAGGACAAAAACTAAGTAGGAGTAAAATCCATCAAATTCAGGAGAAGGGCTAAAAATGGAGAATGAAGGATGACAAGGACTGGAAGGGACTCCACAGACAGCTTCAGCCATGACTTGTATTAGTGGTTTGTTTTCTTTTGTTATAATTTTTGGGGGGGTTACCAGGGATTGAACTTAGGGGCACTCAACCACTGAGCCACATCCCTAGCCCTTTTTGTATTTTATTTAGAGACAGGATCTCACTGAGTTGCTTAGCACCTCTCCCTTGCTGAGGCTGGCTTTGAACTGGTGATCCTCCTGCCTCAGCTTCCCAAGCTGCTGGGATTACAGGCATGTACCACCATGCCCAGCTTTATATATATATAATTTGAATAAATCGGAGAGATCAGAACTAGTTGTGAGATAGTGTTGCGATCCCACTGAATCCAATGTTATTTCCCATCTTTTTTTTTGTAAATTAGAAGTGTTTAAAGGATATGCTGTGCTTGATAAAAACTGTTATGAATCAAAAGATAATTAAGAAAATTTTTTAAAGGATAAATCCCCTAAGAACATGAGTCAATTTCATAACAATGCAGAAGAGACACAGTGATGAATATATTGTGTAATGCAGATAGTTATCACCCTCTATTTTATTTTTATTTTATTTTATTTAATATTTATTTAGTACCAGTGATTGAACCTAGGAGCACTTAGGCATTGAGCCATATCTCCAGCCCTTTTTATTTTTATTTTTTTTTAGTTTTTTAGTTGTAGTTGTACACAATACCTTTACTTTATTGATTTTTATGTGGTGCTGAGGATCAAACCCAGTGCCTTGCATGTTCTAGGCAAGCGCGCTACTGTTGAGCCACAACCCTACCCCTATTTTTTGATTTGAGACAGGTCTTGCTAGGTTGCTTAGGGACTCACTAACTTGCAGAAGCCAGCTTTGAACTTGGGATTCTCCTACCTCAGCCTCCAAAGCCACTGGGATTACAGGTATGAGGCACTGCACCCAGCTTTCCCTATATTTTATATTAAAAACAAATAGTGGGCTGTTGTTGTGGTTAAGTGGTAGAGTGCTTGCCTAGCATATGTAAGGCCCTGGGTTCAATCCTCCATGCCACATAAAAATAAATAAAATAAAGATATTTTGTCCATCTACAACTAAAAAATAATATTTTAAAAACAAAAATAGTGGCCAGGTGCAACGGCACACATCTGTAATTCCAAGGACTCAGGAGGCTGAGGCAAGAGGATTGCAAGTTCAAAGTCAGCTCAGCAGCTTAGCAAGACCCTGTCTCAAAATAAAAAATAAAAAGTTCTGAGAATATGGCTCAGTGATAAAAAGTGTCCCTGGGTTCAATCCTTGGTACAAAACAAAAACAAACCCAAATAGTAGTGTTCTCACTCACAAACCTGACTTTGTGCATTCTATTTAAAAGACAGTGTTTTGTTTGTTTGCTTATATTTTCAGAGACAGTGTCTTGCTGTGTTGTCCAGGCTTGCTTAAAATGCCTGAGCTCAAATGATTCTCCTATATCAGCTTCCTGAGTAACTGGGACTTCAAATTCATGCCATAATGCCCAGTGGGAGAGTTGAGAGAGCTATCCCACCAACCCTCCCCTTCACACAACTCCAACTTTCCCACTTGTCAGTAAGCAGAGATAGCACAAGGTGAAAAAAAAACAGATGGATTCTAGAGCAGAAATCTTAATGCATTTGAGTAATGTGTACAGTCATCATCATGAAGAGAAGATGTTGGGGCTGGGATTGTGGCTCAGAGGGAAAACTTTTGCCTTGCATTCGTGAGGCACTGGGTTCAATCCTCAGCACCACATAAAAATAAAATAAAGATATTGTATCCACCTATAACTAAAAAAATAATTGAAAAAAAAAGAAGAGAAGATGTACTTAATTGTTCTTTTGCTCTGACAGTGCAGTTATAACACAGGGTTAAAATGTCCAAACAGTTGGGCGTGGTGGCCCACACCTATAATCCCAGTGGCTTGGGTGGCTGAGGCAGGAGGATCGTGAGTTCACAGCCAGCCTCAGCAAAAGTGAGGCCCTAAGCAACTCAGTGAGGCCCTGTCTCTAAATAAAATACAAAATAGGGATGGGGATGTGGCTCAGTAGTTGAGTGACCCTGAGTTCAAGCCCAGTACCAAAAATAAATAAATTGGTTAAATGTCCAAACGTTCTCCACAGACCTGGGCATCCCCAACTAAACAAGCCAGGTTCTGCAAGTTCCCACAATCACTGAACAGGTTGGAAAATTCAGGGCTTGAATACAAAATTTTTCACTTAAAGGAATATCTTTACACTGGGAAGATTTCAGAGCCACTACACTGAGTCCACACTTCTTCACACATTTGGGGGTGGGGAGTTTACTGGAGATTTAACCCAGAGATTTTTTGTTTTGAGACAGGGTCTCACTAAGTTGCCTAGGGCCTTGTTAAGTTGCTGAGGCAGACCTTGAACTTGTGATCCTCTGCCTCAGCTTCCCAAATTACAGGTGTGAGTAACCTAGCTCTTGCTAGCTCTTCCTTGCCTAGCTCTTCCTCACACATTTTTAAAATATTTATTTTGTAGTTGTAGTTGGACACAACACCTTTATTTCACTTATCTATTTTTATGGTTGCTGAGGATCAAACCCAGGGTCTCACACGTGCAAGGTGAGCGCTCTACCACTGAGCCACAACCCCAGCCCTCTTCCTCACACATATAATGGAATAATTGAGATATAACCAGCATACTGCATAATTTTTCCATTTTTAATTGTCGCACATCTTTAAGTACATACAGTTCAAATTCTCAACCAATCAATTTAATTCTGTGGGGAAAAAACAAGAGATATGGAATGGAAGGGAAGGAGACAATGATAATTTTTTTTTAAAGAGAGAGAGAGAGAATTTTAATATTTATTTTTTAGTTTTCGGCGGACACATCTTTGTTTCTATGTGGTGCTGAGGATCGAACCTGGGCCGCACGCATGCCAGGCGAGCATGCTACCGCTTGAGCCACATCCCCAGCCCCGACAATGATAAATTTAATCCACATTTTTAAATCCATCATAAGGAATCATCTGCATTAATGCTTCAAAATAAATTCCCAAGCCACTATTAAAGATAATTCAGAAGCCATTCTTAAACAAATCCTCCCCAGTGGGTGAATTCAACCCTATGCTCTAGCATTTCCTAATACCACCTGAGTCTGGAATTTGGAAATATTTACAAAAAAGGAAAAATTCTGATTTATCACCCTCTTTTAGATGAATTGCCTAAAAGTGCTTCTGGCATACGACAGAGAAAACGCAAGGAGGTGAGTATCTCTCAAATATAAAAGACAAGAGCACCTTTGTCTTTCTGTGGATGTCAATATTGGTAAGAGTGGGAAAGTATTAAAAATATCTTAGCCTTTCCTCAAATCTTTTTCTTTTCTTACTTTTTTCCCTTCATGCCAGGGTTTGAACCCAAGACCTTGAACATATTAATATTAAGCACATGCTTTATCACT